TATAGCTAAAGGCTACATAACAAGCAACAATGCCAGACAGGAGATACCTTCTTTTGAGTTGTTGGCCAGGGTGGCCCAAGAGACTCCCAGATAGTAACCCAGCATAGAACTGGGAAAATGAACAGCAGACCCTTATCTAAAGGAATATTAACAACTGATTGCTGCTAGATGAGGAACAGCTGACCTTCCTAAAACAAAGACCTCTAGATAGGCTGACTAGATTCACCAGATGGACAAATAGTGGGGAACAGCTGGGGGTGCCGACAACACAGTGGACAGTAGCAGGGATAACAGAGTATAAGGGCTTTGGTAGGAGGAGGGAGACTATGGGAGGGTGCCATGTGGGGAGTGGGTGTATAGTTGAATAAGATGGTTTGGTATGTTCTGTGCGATATACACACACACAAAAGATCAACAAATTTTTAAAAATGTATTATATTTGAGGAGGAAGCATAAAAATTTACATCATGTTAATTAGTAGAGGTGATAAACATTACCATTGAAATCTACCCAATGACTTTATAGACATACACAGGCACCAAGGATCCAAGTGCAACCGTTTATGACTAGTAATAATCAGATACATACAGATTAGAGATGCATGCACCAACATCTCAGTGTTAGTAGCAAAAACAATGAGTCTTTCTATAAGAAACAGTATATTTTAAAATGAAATGGAGATCTTTTTTAAAGGTTAAAAACTCAATTTTATGTCTTACAGGGCTTATACTGAGTTCAATGTTGTATAACTGCATTAATTCAGCTGTGAACTTAAAAATTTACAGCCGCTTTTGAAAGAGGTGTATTCTTGCTCTGGAGTGTGTTACTGAATATGTTAAAGCTGTAATGAAATGCTTCTTCTAATCAGGTGGTTATTAAATTTTTTTAAAAATTAAAAAAAAATTCTTCAAAGCATAAAAATTTGCTCCTTAATAATTAGTAGATGTGAAAAACATTACCATTGAAACCCACCTGATGACTTTATATCCATGCTCAGATGCCAAGGAGCTCAGAAGGTGACTGACTGTGACTAGTAATAATCAGATATATAGAGATCAGACATCCATGTGCAAACATCTTAGTGTCAATTGCATTAAAAATGAATTTTTCTGTATATAATTCAACTGTAAACCTAAAAATTTACAGCCAATTTTGAAAGAGATGCATCTTAGCTCAGGAAATTGTTATTGAATATGTCAATGCTGTTATAATGAAATGCTTCTTCTAATTATGTGGTTATTAAATAAATAATTAAAAAATAAGGCAGAAATCAATTGAGGAAGACACACATGGGCAAGCACGCGCACACATACATGCACACACACACACACACACACACACACACTACATTCACACAGACAAAATAAATATCTTGCTTATATGGAGAACATAAATAAGTATTTCAATTGCCAGGCATGGTAGTGCACGCTTTTGATCCCAGCTCTCGGAAGGCAAAGGCAGGTGAATCTCTGTGAGTTCAAGGCCAGCTGGGGCTACAGAGAGACCCTGTCTCAAAAAAAACCCAAAAGTATTTCATAGAAAGTAGAAAGGTGATAACTAAGTCTCAATGGGAGTAGGGGAGAGATGTTGATCAAAAGATACAAAGTCAGGGCTACAGACATGGCTCAGTGTTAAGAGTACTTGCTGGTCTTCCAGAGGACCTGGATTCCATTTCCAGCATACACATAGCAACTAATAACTCCTTGCATACACATGGGGAACATACATACATTCAGGCATACACACATACACATAAAATTAAATAAATAAATCTT